CTTGTGAACTTACTTGTTTTTTTTTCTATTGCAGACACTTTTTTTTTGAGTTTATCCTAGTCTCTGCCTGTTTTCCTGTTTGTTTGGGACTCTCTCTCTCTCTCTCTCTCTCTCTCTCTCTCTCTCTCTCTCTCNCTCTCTCTCTCTCTCTCTCTCTCTCTCTCTCTCTCTCTCTCTCTCTCTCTCTCTCTCTCTCTCTCTCTCTCTCTCTCTCTCTCTCCCCCACACTTGGTCATGTCCTCTTCCACGATTTGTTTTTTTTTCTCCTACTTTTTCTTCTCTTCGTCCTCCTTGTTCAACCTTCTCCTCCTTGACCTCCTCCTTCCCATCTGCCCTTGCTTGGCCATCTTCTCGTCCTTCTCCTCCTGACAACCAACAGTTTGTTTTTCGTTTTTTTTTTTACCTCGGGTCTACCTTATTGGACTTTCAAGTTTGTTGCCGAATACAGTCCTGTTGAGGGATGTAGGTGGAAAAGCAGCAGTAGGAGGTAAGCCACATGGCAACTTTGCAGCAGCGGTGCCATGCATGCCAAATCCGGGTTTTTTTCTTGTTTTCAGTGTTGGCTTTAAAAGGGGGGCAAAGGGGGTATAAATTATTTTTAAAACGGGCTAAAGTGTTTTAAAGGGAGGTGACTTGGTGTGATTTGTTTTTTTTTTTTAATCTTCAGTTTCGTGAGAAATTATGATGTGACCAGGGAAAACATTTTTGTATTGCAATTCTACACAACATATATTTTTTCCACATGTTTTGGAATTTTTTTTTATTTATTTTTTGGCGCTCGGGCTGCCCACGACTTGCCCGGTGGTCATCCCAGCCGGTCACCCGAGCGTGTTTCCGGCCACAACGTGGGTGCCCGGGCGCCGAAAAAACGACTTATCTTTTTTTGTCTAATTTTTTACCACCTTCTCAGTCCGGGTACGCAGGGTGAGTGCCCTCCCCCCCGGGTAGTGATGGTCGGCTAGGTGCTGTCAGGTAATCCTGGTAACACAGCCAAATTGTAGGTTTACGCAGTCTTACAAACCTTTGGTTTTGAAGTACAAAATTTTTCTCATGCCCAGCAACAAGGCTTGACAGTCTTTCGCATTCATAATTTGAGCATCCCGGCATTTGGCTATAGCTGCAGTCAAGTTGACCAATCTTGGCCAATGCATGAAAATAATTTTAACTGGCCATTACCTGGGTGCAGATATAAGGTGGGCTCCGGGACTGGGTATACGGGTACAAAAGCATTTTGTTGGAGAAGGAAAAAAAACACGAATCAGGGTCACACTTGATTTTACCCAGAAGGCAGAGAAAGGTACAACTTTAACTGTTGTGGATGTATCATTGTATTCGGTAGAGATTGCCATCAAGTTTTATACAGGAAGACCATTTCTCGATTTATGCATGTCATCCTTGCGCAGGGGTCATGCTAATCTCCTCTGTATCGTTCCAATTTAACTTATGTCCTGAAGGGCTCACCACCGATTTTGGGTTCTAGCGAGTGCTGCAGTGCGGTTGTTTTGTTCCCTCTGTGCATGTTGTTGCAACAACTGTGTTTCGTGTCATGTCCTGTGTTTATGCTGGCTCCTCTTGGAGGAGTGCGGGGATCCAGCTATCCGCATATTTTTTTCTATTTTTTTTTTTCGATTTCCTCCATCGTTGTTCTTTTCATTGTCAGTTTTTGCCGTCTCCACTAGGAGTACTACTATGCGCCAGTTGTCTGCTGCTTTTTTTTTTGTCTTTCCTTTTTTTTTAAGAAAAAGAAAGAAAGAAAAAAAAGTTCCGATCTATTCGTGGGGAGCAGCACGTACGGGGATGAGGATGATGATGGTCCCTTCGGGAAAATGCCTCATGGACCACTACTCGCCTCCCATCTACCGAACCCCCACATTCCAAGTGATGGCACAGGCCTAACCTAAATCAGCCATAGCTGTCCTGTTCGTAATGCCAAGCTTATACCAAGCCTCACGCTCCCAACATGCTAGGTTACATGGCGCTGAGACCCACCCCAGCTCCGACCATCGTTGGCCTGGAAGCCACCCCTGATTAGCCGCTGGATTGTCTTCCACCCTCGACGAATCCCCAGATCTCTCTACCAGGCTTCACCCTCTTGCCTTCTTTTTTTGTTTTTTTTTTACAACAAAACCAGACATTGCCCCATTCACTCATACCCAAACCAGGATCTACGAACCGGACTCAATAGGGATGAGGGGAAGGGGTCAGGGAAGTATGAGAAGGGGCGCATAGGGACAGTAGGTTTCACTGTTGTCCAATCTATCCCCAACACTGGCCAGCGTCGTTCTGACATTGCCTATAAACTAGGGCACTGATCACAGCAGCTCTGTCTGATATCGGATAAGACTCCACCGCCACTTAAATCATGTATCCCATTTTCGTAGAAGCCCTCAGTGATCCATGATTGCTGATGGTTTTTTTATGGAGATCATGCGCAACTCCTAGCCTCACATCTGCCCAACCCTACATTCAAGAGTTGCGTGTCCGATTTTAAATTCAACGCGGGTTCCGCATTGAAAAATTCAACGCGCGTTGAATTCGCGTTAAACTCTCGTTCAAACGCGAGTTGGACGTGAATTAACGGGGTGGGGGATGATTTGTTTCCTGGGCTAAAAATTATCCAAAATATATATATATGGGGTTGTAGGTTTTTTTTAGGACTACAACCCTGTATTTTTATTTTTATTTTTTGATGCTTAAATATATTTAAAAAAAAATCAAAAACATAAACACACAATGAAAAAACAAAAACTAATATGAAATGAGTATTTTTGTTTTGGGTTTCACACAGATTTTTGAAGGCCTAAAACAAAAAAAAAAAAAAAACAAATAAAAAATATAGGGTTGCAGATCTTTCAAAGATGTACAACAATTTATTCTGTGTTGTTTTTTTTGGAACTTCGTGTATTTAAAAAAAAAATCAAAACCATAGAAAACAAATTAAAAAAAAGAAAAAAAAAACACACACAGACACAAAATTGGGCCTATAGCAGGTTGCATGAGTCTGACGTCAGTTGGTTGAGGGAACCCAGGCCCTCGGCCGCCTGTGTGAATGTATGGAAAGCAGGCCCTGGGCTGGATACGGGTACTGGGCCAAACACAGGCCTTATGCAGTTGGGGGCATGCAACCACCTCAGGCCCAAGGCCTATTCTCGTTCGTGTTGTGCCTCAGGCTACCGGGGCCTACTGGAAGCTTCCGGGGACTGAACACAGGCAGGCCGCTTTGATATAGCAAAGGGCCTGCCTCCACATTGGGCATTCGGGTGCTGGCTGCATGCTGCGTAAGAGCTGCCACGCTGTAGGTCGTTGGCACTCACGCGCTCACGGGCGAGCAGGAAGGAGCAGGCAGCCATAGCCAAGCCGTGTTGTTGTAAGCTGGGTGTGGCGTCGGGGGGTCCTTGGGTGCAAGTGACATCTGTGTGTCGGGGAACGAGGGTGTGAGTAAGGCGAGACACACTCTCACGCGCAGGCACAGACACACTTACACTTACACACACACACACACTTATAAACACACACACACACACACACACACTTACAAACACACACATACACATACACACACACACTTACAAACACACACATACACATACACACACACTTAAAAACACACACATACACAAACACACGCGCATACATTCATATTCATGCACAGACACACTCTCACACGCAGGCACACACATATACAGATATGTGCACACACAACACCCCTACACACACGTAACTGGGGCGTTGGGGGTTGGGGGATGTGGGGGCGGATGGGAGGTGCTTCAGGGGTTGGGGGGATTTTTTTTTATTTTTTTTTATTTTTTTTTGCCTAGGGCCACGTGTTCCGGACCCCGCACATCAATTCCGTTTTTTCGAAAAGCGCGGGAGCGGCCCATTTTCGCGTTTAACGCGAATTCAACAGGATTTTTTTGAATTTAACGGGATTCAACGGGAGTTTAATTCCCCCGTTCTGCGTTAAAAAGATACACAGTTCAAGAGGCAATATCGACCTAAGTAATACCAGCCATAGCTGTCCTGTTCTCACTACCAAGACTATACCCGGGCTCACGCCCCTAACATTCTAGGTCACAGGGCACCGCGGTGCCCAGTTTCGATCCTCGTTATCATGACAGCAGCTCCAAGATCGACGAGTGGATTGCCTTCTACCAGTGACGAATACCCAGATCTCTCCACTACGCCTCACGCTCCTGGTATAAACAGGTTACAGGGCTACACCCCAGCACCGGCCAATGTCGCTCTGGCATCGGCCAACCAAGAGCAGGTGAACATCAAAGCTTCGTGTGGCGTCAGACGGGCTTTTACCGCCACTGGGGTCTTGGATCCGGTATCCGTAGAAACTCAAAGATTGTTGATGATTTGGTTGGGATTTGTACCTCGATCTCGGGTATGTCCATAATTCAAGCATTCAGGTATTTGGGTATAGAGGTACCAAGCTCGGTGCACATTGGTCCCGGGCATGCAATTGATTTTCACAGTCCGTTTCCAGGGTATAAATGCAAGATGGACACTGGCCCCCAGGTATAGGCACTATTCCCATCTTTAAAAAGGGTACAGGTGCAACTTTTTCCCCCTTAACCGACCAGTACATGCCAGCCAACAGTTGCGGGCCCTCTCTCTCTCTCTCTCTCTATCTATCTATCTATCTATCTATCTATCTATCTATCTATATCTATATATATATATATATAGATATATATATATATATATATCTCACACACACACACACACACACACACACCAATGCTCAAGTGCTGCGCACACCTTTCGGAGGCCGCCCGCCGCGATGTATTTTATCAATGGCGCGCGAGCCTCCAAAATTTTAGGAGAGGCTCAATCCTAGCCCATACTTCGTTGGGGTTATGTCCTCGTGGCTTAACACATCCAACTGTGGAGCTTGATACGGTCGTTTTGATCCCCTGCAAGGTCCACCAAAGAGAAGGGTACAGACCAGTACTTCAGGGCACTAACGAGCCAGGAAATTGCACCGGAGCAGGTGGCTGCATGGGAAGTGTCACATGCCCTGTGAAAGGGACTGCGTGGGAAGTGCCACAAACAATATAGGCAAGCGAGCACTCTTCTTGGGAGGGGAGGGGGGATGAAAATTTTGACAACATGACGAGAAGAATGAGACGGAAGAGGAGGCGGGGGAGGAAGTGGAGGAGGACGAAGAGGAGCCCGCGACGATGGACGAGGAGGAGGAGGAGGAGGAGGAGGAGAAGGAGGAGGAACAAGAGCCTATGGCGATGGAGGACGAGAAGGAAGAAAAAGAGGAGGAGGAGGAGGCGGTAGAGGAGGAAGAGGAGGAGGAGGAGGAGGAGGAGGAGGAGGAGGAGGAGGTGGAGGAGGAAGAGGAGGAGGAGGAGGACGACGAAGAGGAGGAAGAGGGCACAACGACGAAGATGGAAGAGGAGGAGGAGGAGGAGGAGGAGGAGGAAGAAGAAGAAGAGGAGGATAACCAAGACGAGAACAAAGAGGAGGAGGTGGAGGAGCAGAAGGACGATGAGAACATGGCGAGGAGGAAGAGGAAGAGGAGGAGGAGGAGGAGGAAAAAGAGGAGGAACAAAGGAAGGAGGAAGAAGAAAAAGAGGAGACCGAAGTGCGAAAGGGAAAAAACGAGGAGGGGGAGGAGAAGAGTAGAGACGGAAGGAGGAGGAGGAGGAGGAGAAGGTGCCTAACCTGGCACTAAGTGGCGATAGCACGTGTGGATGGGCTGGACAGTGTCTGAGTTTGACAACGGCAACACCGAGGTCCACCGACAGCGGTCGGGCAAAAACGTGCTCGTGGGGGGCAGCCTAGGCCCCCGCGTTCGAATTTGAAAATGGCTACTATGCACCCATCAATCACGCTGATAGGACGCCCCAGATTGGACCGTTTTCTATTTTGAATTCAAACGCCTTACCGGCTACCGCAAATGTCTCCCACTTGGCCCTCCGCTCCGCCTCTAATCGCAGCCCATCCTTGCGCTGCCAAAGTTGTGCCCCCCCCCCCCGAATTTGTTTCGGGATCGGACGTAGGACCCTACAGAACCGGGCCGGATATGCACGGTTGTCCGATCGGACAGTCCCGAACGATCAAGGGGGTCCCAAACATCCGATCCGGTAACATAGACATAATATCATATAAGATCTCTCTTTCATTCTCTTTTTTGATTCTTATGCAAAAAAAAAAAAAAAAAAACAATTTCATGAACCGTAGAATCCTTACAAATGTGCTCTTTACGCATTTCCATTTTGTTTAGTGTCCAAATGTACCGCACCTACTGGCTATGGTTTGAATTTGGTCACAATAGGTATGAGATGGAGAGGGTCCGTGGGTGCCTATTCATTTTGCTGCATTAAATGTATTCAATCTGAACTGCTAGGCACCTACCGACCTCGCTTTCATTTTCATAAGAGAAGATACAAAATGAGTAGCATCAACTGGGGCATATTCATCCAAGGAACGTGAATGTTGACCTCCAAGTAGTTCACAACTACTAACCAAGATTCGATTTGTATTAGGGAAGGCATGCGATTCGTCACGAAAATTATGTCTCCCATACTTTTTTTTTTTTTCTTTGACTCGTATACCTAATTGCACCCATACATACAATGACAAAAAAATATATATTCAAAGGATGTGCATACCCTATGACATTGTGGGGGACCCCCGTACGATGTGTTAACCTAGGTTGTTTTACCGGACGTTATATATATATATATATATATATATATATATATATATCATCAAATAGAACTGCCCGGTAAACCGTAGGCAGATATATATATATATATATATATATATATATTGAAAAAAATCATGTGGATTCTACCTTCCATAAGGTGTATGCCACCAAAATTTTGGCTCATTTGAGCCAGTAGAAAAAAAGATACAAATCTTCAAAGTTTCTAATCCCTACCTATACCCCTCCTATCCCCACCAAAACCCCTCGTACCCCCCCTCCCACCCCAAATAGCACCCTATCACCAAATGCTCAGAAAATTCTGAATTTTTTTATGGGGGATCTCTATGGCATGCGCAACACTTTCATTTTTATTTTTATTTTTTTTGTTTAATGTCAAAAGTGGTTCTCCGAGATCCCGGACAACCCCCCTACCGGACGGTTGGGGGAGACGTCCGGCCGAGATGTCCGGCCATCGGACGACTGGTAACCCAGGTGTTAACCCTCACTTATATTATATGTCCCTTGTGTATCGGAATTTGTATTACTTATTTTCTTTCACTAATATTTATTTTATGTAAGATATAATGTATGACACCTCTCTCTCTCTCTCTCTCTCTCTCTCT